GTGATCATGTATTGTGTTATATTATATTTCTGGAAAATTTAAGGGGTAGTTATATAATAATTTTAGACGATCTCGGGCGGTCGGATACTTATAACCGCTACTATACTAACTACTATGTTATAGGGATCTGTATTGCCATATGCTGTAAAGACTGAGTTAGATTTATTTAAGAACAGGTTAGTAATAATTTTAATAAATGGAGTTAGGATTCATAGTCTTTCTATAGCTTTTTAAGCATATGAATGTTTACTCAGTCATATGCTTTTGACATATCTTAAAATAAGATATATAATTTTAAATGATCTTGTTAATGTGTCTTTTTTCGTAAATAGTGATATTTAAGCAAATTGTTGACAATGTGAAGTGGTTTTAGGGTTGATTTGTGAGAAAGATCAGCAAATTTGAGATCTTTGATAATGTTGTATTTGATAAATATCTTGAAGTCATTAGTTGAGGATTTTAACAAAAGCTTTTTTAATAATGTTTAAAAGGATGATAGGTCTAGTATTATCTAAGTCACAGTTCTATGACTTTGGTTTTAGATTAGAGTAAATGTATGCTAAATTTCATTATATAGGGGTAAAACCGCTAATAAAATATACACAAATAATATTGTGAAGAAAATTCTTCATTTTAAGATCTAATTTTTTTAGCATTTTCATAAAAGAATTTCCAATTATTCTATATACTCTTAAAGTTAGAAGAAATAGGATTAGTAATGTTACAGTTAGTAGTAAAGATGGTCCCCATAATTATTTTCAAATTTCAATTGAGTTGCAACTTAATTGCGCCATAAGGAAATTTAATTGCGCCACAAGTTGTAACTCAATTGCGCCATTTTTTTTAATTGCGGTGACCATCTTTAGTTAGTAAAGTCTGCTATATTTTGAAAATGATTGGCTGTTTGTTATTTGATGTTATCTGATAAAAGTTCTAAATATTGGTTAGAAGAATCCTTGTTGATTAAAAGGTAATCGATGACTATTGCTTTTCTGTTTCATTCTAAGCAGAAATCAATCATTTTTGTAAGAGCATCTTTAAAATTATTATTATGTTATTTTAAAAATTTGAGAATTCATTTATTATTTTCAGTTTTAGAAATAATTTTTTGTTTTGCTTAAATAGTTTTATAATATCAAATTTAAGTTCAGTTATATAAGAAAAGACATGAAGATTATCATAATAAGTATCAATAGAGACGGTAGATATACTGTAATGCACTGCAATCTTCATTAGATTTGATATTCTAAATAAGAAAGGGAAAAGTCATTTAAATTGTTATTTGGTAATGGTATGGCTTTTTTTAATTTATAGTAGTATTTGTGTAGGAGTTTGACATGAGGTTGAATAGTGAAATTTGAATAGAAATATAGCATTTTGTGTTAGCTGGTAGAAGTTTGTTTGAGAATATATTTCTTTGTTAAGGTCATAATAATAGACGTGAAAAATTTCAGGCAGCATTGATGGTAGTGATGTCTATTTTTGATGTTCCAAAGATTTGTTATCCTAGCTATATGTTCCAACCTATCACACACTATATCCTAAATATTTTATCTGTCTTATCTATATCCCATCAGTATCCTATCAATGTTCTATAATAACACTGATTGATGGTATTACGTAACTGATCAAATTCTTGTGCTATTTCATTAGCTTATAAGGTGTTCTGCTTGAGTAATAAGTCAGTCTTGTCTGAGAATAAATCCCAACATAAAAGAGTTATTTTGTTATAGAGAAAAGTTTATTTTGTGATTTTATGTTGTTTTAAAGAAGCATTTGAAGAACATGTAAAAAGATTATTTTTGAATAAAATAATGGATAAGGGCAAATGGTCTGTAGTATATATGAAGGATGAGTTATTAAAGACGTTAAATAAAATAAGTTTATGTGTTAAGTTTGTAGATACGAAAATATAATCTAAGTGTGAGTAACTTAATTTGAGGCAGATCTAAAAGTAGCAGGATAGTTAAGAAAAAAAGAGAAAAAAGAAGTAATTGTATAAATAAAACCTAGGTCAATAATCTGATGAAAAAAGCTTTATAAAACTCTTTTGATATTTGAATGATAATTTTTTGAAATATCAATATTAAAATTACCTATTAAGATAACGTGAAAATTATTTTTGTAACTTTGAATTAAAATATCTATGAGTTTCTTTTGAATTTGTATTCTATGTCTAAATGAATGTTTGTCTCTATAGGTAGCAGGAAGGTAAACTTGAATAATACGTAATTTGACTTTCTTTTTATATTAGAGATCTACATATATAATGCGATCAAAAAAATTCTGTTGATTAAATATATGTTTGCATAATTCATTACAGATTATAAAATTAACTTCTTGACAATTATGTTCTCTATTTTTGTTGTAGAAAAAAAATTTTATAAGATTTATCATAGTAATTGTTGTTTAGATATTTGACTTGATTATATGTAAGATGAGTTTCACTAAATCCTATTATATCAAATTATAAGTTGGTGAAAAAGGATTCTATTTGTTATAATTTAGTATTAGAGGAATAGTTTCTAATATTATATGTAATAATAGAAAAAAAGTTTGAGTTGTGATTAAATGTTGATAATGATGCATTTGAATTATAATTATTATTATTAGTAAGATATGATGATGTTATCCCTACAATATTGTATCTCTTGTTGTTATTAAACATTTAGATATGTAAGTCATAGGTGTCATTTAGGTGATCATAAAGGTAACTGATTGAAGTTGCGAACTGAAGGTAAGCATCAATTTCTGTATTTGATCTATATGAGCTGAAAGAATATTACTGTCATATGACTATATAAGGATTTTAACATTATTACTTATGTCCATAGACGTTGTATTTGAGATAAGAAGGTTTTAGATTAAAGGTTTAGGCTATTGATTTATTGTTTCTTTAATATTCTGTTGTCCAGTAGGAATTATTTCATCAACATTATCATCTGGTATTTTTGTAAAAAATTTAAGTCTTGAGAAATGATAATCAATGTCTCTTTAGTTACATTTTTGAATCATGACTTCTTTTTTAATATCATTAAATAAATCAAAGAGTAATTTGAATTTATTTTCAAGTTCTTTAACTTTTTTAACTAATAAAGGAATAGTTTTACTGATATCGAAAAAAGATGTAAATCTATTTTGAATATTATTAGAGGGTGACTTATTATTAATCAGTAGTTTTAAATGAGCAGCTTCAGCATATGTCATATTATTATAAGTATTAATTAACATTTAGGGATGTAATGGTCTATATTATTCAGGTTTGAAACGTTTATATAAAGGTTTATATGGATTAGTAGAGATTTTCTTGAAACAATCTTTGAATTTGTGATCTGAGGATCCATATTTTCTACAGTGTTTATTTGTGAGACTCATTCAATATAATACATTTTCTTTGAATTTATGGTGTTAAGTAACTGCAGCATCTAAGTCTTCAATATTAGTAAAATTAACAAATACGTAAGATCTTAATCAATATTGTTGATCTCTTGAAATGAAACATGATTTAGCTTTGATTTGAGTCAAGAAATCATATAGAGAGTGTTGATTAGTATTGAGTAGTAGACTAGTAAGTTTAAGCTTAAATTGTTATTTTAGTGTAGTTTGTAAAGGATCAAGATCAGTGGATTCTACTCTTAAAGTAAACTCTAAAAAGGAAACAGACAAAGTATCATTATAGAATCATTTAATGGTATCATTACTTTCATAAACAATGAATGTAATCTGCCAGGGTTCTTTGACGATTAAGGAGAAACAGGTAATCATTTCAAATTTGTCAAAAAATTTTATATTACATTAGATTTAAAAAATAGGGAATGTTTGATACTTTGATAGTACGACCTTTCTCAGCGTTTAATTTTAGTCGTTTAGTGTTAAGATCTGCAATCAAAAAAATCAGATTATGTTGTATTTCCTGCACTTTTATGACAACATGTGTAAAGTATTCTAAACTGTCAAAATAGATGATGAATTTTCTGTTTTTGAAAAGATAGTTAAATTCTTGAAAGTCATTAAAGTAATAAATAATACATTGATAAAATTGCATTTTTTAACGATAGATTTTTCTTTTATATCAGCCATATTATCAGTGATATAAAAATAAGTGAACACTGTAATTATGTTGAATTATCAATCATTCACATTCTTGTTAAAAGTCGAAGATTCAGCTTCATCTATTTTATCTGATCAAGTCTATTTATTTTTTTCCTTAAAGGTAGAAGAAGTGCTTATAGGTTTTGATTTGCTGGTATTGTTTATTTATTTTGCATGCATAGAGTCTTTGGTTGTTTGAAGAGAAATAGGTTAAACTATTTCTGTAGTGTTGAAAGTTGAGAGAACGTTATCTATTTTCATGTCTAAAGATTTAGTTGTGTTATCATCAGTGTTATTAGAAGGTGTTTGGTTGTTATTATTGGTAGTGAGAATAATATTTTCAATAACTTTGTTAATAATTTTTAGAAAAGAAGTTTTCATATTTTCTGAAGTAAATTTTTGTTTTTTGTTGTTTGTTAAAAGAGTTTCTAATAGAGTTTGTTCGTTAGACTCTAAACTAGAGTTTGTAAACTGTTCACTATTATTTCTTAGTGTTGTTCATTTATTTTTATTATAAGGTTATGAATTATTTTAAATATAGTTTTTTTGCTTTAGTTTCTGGCATGATAGTTACAGGTAAGAGTTCTGGATCTAATTGGACTAATAGATGATGAGATATTTCAAGAAGAATGATCAAGTATAATTTCATAGATCATTACTAAACAGAGCTGTAATTCCTTAACACAAATTAGCGATTGACTAACTAAAATTACAAAAATGATGAAAACTATCATAATGATGAAACTGATGATAATGCTATTAACGAATTTAAATATGTTTATATAATTAATATAGTTTACTTAGTTAAACTTATTAATTAAGTTAACAATGTTTACAAGATTTCTGTAGTTTATTAAGTTGTACTTTATCTTAATTTAGTAATATAATTAGACCTAAAGTTTTATATAAATAGAATAGAAATTTTATGTATTCTCATCAGTCAATTTTAGTTAATCTTTAGTGAATTACAAGTCTGTTAATTCTTAGTTAGTTATATAGTTAATCAAGCTAGATAGTCTTGATATATTAATTATTAGATAGTTTTCTAATACAGTTTTGATATAGTTTAGTTTATTATTTATTCTTTAATTTTGTAAGTTCGTGAATAAGAGCTTATTTAAATTATTGAATGGTATTGATTCCAATTTCTCTTAATAAAACCAACCTTTTACCTTATAACTTTAATTAGTTAAACTTGTAATATAAAATCCAATCTATCATTATAGCTCTCTCATATAAACATATACATTAATTGTAGTGTTTTTCATTGATAATTCTATTGACGTTAATAAGACTTTAGAATTGTTAACATAAACTATTATCCTTCAGATACCTAAAACGTTACTATACACGTTGAAGTTTATTTTTCAGTCAGTAGACTTTGCAATCAACTTGTATAACAGTAATAAACTGCCTTTATTTATAATTTTAAATTAGTTAAAATATTACGAGAGCAGTTTTCAGATAGTATATATATTTATGCTAATATAAATAACTTAATGGATAAGAAAGAAATGCTTTGATAAGTGAAAAATATATAATGTAAACAGGTTAATTTAAGTTTAAATTCAAAGTCTCTTTTTGTTTTTGATTCATTTAGTGCTATAAAACTGATTCAATAAAATATCAGTTTAATAAAAAGAATACAGATATTGCTATTATACTAAGTGGACTGACCTTATATTTACAACTATTAGATGTATCTTTTAAAGCAAAAGTTAATTTAGTATTAATTTATTTAATCTATATAAATATAAAGAATTTTTTATTAATTTTTAAATTTATTATAGGTTTGTTATGTTTACAATTAATAGACGAATAATGATATAAAGGAGTATATATCAGTAAAACTCTGAATAATTCAAATTAATCTGAAAATTTTTAGTTCAGATCAACTTCAGTTCAGTTACAGATTGCAAAAAATTTAATCTGAAAATTTTCAGCTTAGTTCAGATTTTTTTTGGATTATAAATCTAATCTAAACTAAAAAAAATCTGAACTGAACTAAAAATTTCAGATTAATCTGAAATTTTAGATCATTTAAAATGATTAAATTTATTGTTTTTTTGAAATGATAATTTAATTATTTCAATTGAACAATTCTTTTATCGTTCATTTAGAATGATAATTTTATTAGTCCAATAGAATGATCCTTTTATTGTTTTTTTGAAACAATAATTTAATCATTTTAATCAAATGATTTTTTTATCATTTGTTTGGAATGATAACTTCAATTGTTCTAAATAAATGATAATTTAATCGTTCTAATCAAATGATCCTTTTATCATTCTTTTAGAATGATAATTTAATCGTTCTAATCAAATGATTCTTTTATCGTTCTTTTAAAATGATAATTTAATTATTATAATCAAACAATTTTCTTATTATTCATTTGAAATGATAACTTCATTCATTCTAATCAAATGATTTTCTTATTGTTCGTTTGGAATGATAACTTTAATTATTCCAAATGAACGATTCTTTTATCATTTTTTTAGAATGATAACTTCAATTGTTCCAATCAAATGAATTTTTTATCATTTGTTTAGAATAATAATTTCATCATTTTAATTGAACGATTTTTTTATCTTTTTTTGAAATGATAATTTAATTGTTTTAATTAAACAATTTTCTTATCATTCATTTGGAATGATAACTTTAATCATTTCAAATAAATAATTCTTTTATTATTCGTTTATAATTATAATTCAATCATTCTAAATAAATCATTCTTTTATCATTCTTTTGAAATGATAATTTAATAGTTTCAATTGAATGATCCTTTAATCGTTCTTTTAGAATGATAATTTAATCATTTTAATTGAACAATTTTTTATCATTCTTTGGAATGATAACTTCAATCCCTCTATTTGAACGATTTTCTTATCATTTATTTGGAACAATAATTTTATCATTCTAATTGAATGATTTTTTATTATTCTTTTAGAATGATAACTTCAATCGTTTTAAATGAATAATTCTTTTATCATTCTTTTAGAATGAGAATCACAAATTACTTGTGAAACTCTTAAGAGAATTACAAATTACTTGCAAAACTCCAAGAAATTCTAAAGTAATTGCAAAACTCTAAGAGAATCATAAATTACTTGTGAAATTCTAAGGAAATCGCAAATTACTTACGAAATTTCAAGGGAATCACAAAATAATTGCAAAACTCTTTAAAGAATCGCAAATTACTTGCGAAACTCTAAGGGAATTACAAAATAATTGCAAAACTCTTTAGAAAATTGCAAATTACTTGCGAAATTCCAAAGGAAATCACAAATTACTTGTAAAACTCCAAAAGAAATTGCAAATTACTTGAAAAACTCCAAGAGAAATTGCAAATTACTTGCAAAATTCTAAAGGAAATCACAAAGTAATTGCCAAATTTTAAGAGAAATTGTAAAGTAATTGTGAGACTCTAAGAGAATTACAAATTAATTGTGAAACTCTAAAGAAATCGCAAAATATTTGCAAAACTCTAAGAGAATCGCAAATTACTTGCAAAACTCCAAGAGAAATCACAAAGTAATTGCAAATCTCTTATAAGAATTGCAAATTACTTGTAAAACTCTAAAGGGAATCATAAAGTAATTGCCAAATTTTAAGAGAAATCGCAAAGTAATTGTAAAACTTAAAGGAGTATCACAAAATAATTGCAAAACTTTTAAGAGAATCACAAAATAATTGCAAAACTCTTAAGAGAATTGCAAATTACTTATGAAACTCTAAGGGAATCACAAAGTAATTGTGAAACTCTAAGAGAATTGTAAATTACTTGTAAAACTCTAAGAAAATCGCAAAGTAATTGTGAAACTCTTAAGAGAATTATAAATTATTTGCAAAACTCTAAGAAAATCACAAAGTAATTGTAAAAGTCTTATGAGAATTGCAAATTACTTGTGAAACTTTAAGAGAATCACAAAGTAATTGTGAAACTCTAAGAGAATTACAAATTAATTACGAAACTCTAAAGAAATTGCAAATTACTTGTAAATTCTAAGAGAATCGTAGAATAATTATAATATTCTTTAGAGAATCACATATTAGATTCCCTTCAAAATTTGAATATATCGAACTGAACTTTTAAATTAATTTGAAATTTTCAGTTT